AGTTAGGTTCAAATATTTGCTCAAAATTTACCCCTAATTAAATGTTTTATTATGTTAATATTATTACTTTCCAGCTCCAATAATTTCCAACAATTTTCGTGGAAAATATAGGTAAATGTGGAAATATTTTATAAAGCATTTAGAATTTTGAACGCAGTATATTAATCATGAACAGAAACAAGGTATTCTGTACTTTCCAGCTCCAATAATTTCCAACAATTTTCGATGTTCTCAGTTCTCAGTTTTCTCCATCAGATCTAGTTTAATTAAAATAAAGGAATAAACATAAATACAACAAATAATCAGTTTACCCATTAATAAAGGAATAAACATAAATACAACAAATAATCAGTTTCATCCTTATGCCCCGTTTAATTTATATATTTTCAGTATAAAAAGACTAAAATACCCTTAAACTTAAAAGGGGGCAAAACTGTAAACCCATCACCCGAACACTCTTTCTTCCCAGTTCCCCACCACCAACAAAGCTTCGCCGCCATGAATGGCGGCCATGAAATTCGTGGCTTGAAGCTACTGATTTCAAAAACCACTGTCACTGAAAACACAAACCAGACCAGCAAAGATGATGGTTTTCTTTGAAAAAGCAAGTTGAAAATCGCGGAAAATCAGATCGAAAAAAATTCCACCGAAGCCAATAACCACCTCTTGCTCTCAATTGTCTATCTTCTCACCTTCTCATCGCCGTCAAGCATCCCTCTTTTGGCTATCGACAATGCAACTGGTTTCAAGGTCGCCGTCGAACAAAGCTGTGGTCTGGAGTGTGGGAGGTTATTCTCATGGGTCACCTGCCTTCGTCCCTTCTTGCCCCCTATTTCTCCTCAGACGATCCCATCGATGGTGTAGTGAGGATCTGCGCAGGTGGAGGAGCGCCACCGCCGTTGATGGTGGTGGGGCGCCGCCGTAATTGATGGTGGAGGAGTGTCGCCGCGGTCGATGGGGGAGGATCAAGGTCGCCATTGAGTCAAAGGCCAAAATGGAGAGACCGCCAGCTCCCAGGAACTCGAACTCGGATCCTTTGGGGGGGGGGTGATGGAACCCGCTTCCATCATTTTTTATGGAACTGGGTTTCATGAGGAACTGATTTCCATGGCACCAAGCAAGTGAAAATTTGAGTTCCACTTCAACTTCCATGCTGCCAACGGGGCATTAACTTCATAGTTGCTTTTCAATCTTTTAACCGTAACACCCATGTTCCCAAACAATGATTTCTGGGAAAATTTCATTCAAGGACAGCTGAAGACAATTAATTTTCAAGAACTCCCAAAACAATTTGAAAAGCCACTGCAGGACCATGGAAACAAATTGAAATTAACTTCAAAACCAAAACAAATTGAAATTAACTTCAAAACCAAAAAGACAGTGTTGCCTCTCAAACTATTATTCTGAAATTTGAAGTCTTCTCTCTCTTTCTCTCAACTCCTGATATTTGAAGCCCCTCTTGCTCACTCTCTAAAAAATCCAGTTCATCTATTGAAGGAGATCATTTGCCTTGCCGTCGCTACTATTGTGGTGAGGAGAGACTTTGCCATCGTCATTGCTCTGCTAAGGAGAGCCTTCATCGTTGCCCTGCTCTAGCAACTAGAGCCTCCATCGCCGCCCCTGCAAGTATTGTACGAGAGCTTTTTGTGTAGATATGAAGCTGGTTAAACTAGAAAAACTTGCAAGAACTCGAACTCTATATGACTTTATTGCTGGATATAGTTTGTTTTTGTTTTAATATACAGCTATTTTTGTGTATATATGAACCTCCATTTGTATTTTTGGAATGGTTCGTGAAGTGGCTATGACAACGCGTGAATTGAAATCTATTTTGTATAGTGCTATGAATAAATAGAGAATTTCATGATGGTACTTGGAGGTAAACCGCCCTAAGTACTAAATTGAAACTAGCTAGCAACTATATAAATGTATGAACAAATTAATCAACTTGTAAATGGATGTATTTTTATTGTTAATGTATGTATCATTGTTGCAAAGTTCCTAATTCTACTTGTGAATAGTCACTCCCAGACTTGTGAATTGATGTGTTCAACTTTTTGAATGAAATAAATCTACTTGCAAAAAAACGTATTTCTATTGTTAACGAATGTATCCGTGTTGCAAATTTCCTGATTTCACTTGTGAACCCTTACTCCCAGACTTGTGATAAACTTTTTCAATTGAACTAGCTCACTTGCAAATGGATGTGTTATTCTTATTAATATACATATCCTGCTTGCAAATTTCCTAATTTCAATTGCAAATGATCCCTCCCAGACTTGTGAATAATCATGTTTAACTTCTTGAATTCAACTAGCTCACTTATAAATGGACAAATTCTTACTATCAATATACTTGCCCTTCTTGCTAATTGCCTGGGGAGCACTAATCACAATATTCCTTGTATGATAGTCATTTTCTATTGCTCATGAGTTCATTCATTATTTTGAGTTTTCATTGATGCACCTGTGTCAATCTATTGTCAGTACTTATTGTTATGCCATAGGAATAATACACTTCCCTAAAGTTTGAGTTGTGGTGATTAGTTACTCATAAAAGAAATACACAAACAGCTGCTATTGCAAAACTACTTCAACGGATAAAGACAACAAAAGCCAAAGTAATGACATAGCAATTATTATATTTTTATTTCAATTAAGCTATTTTAGAATGTGTTAAAATTTGTGTATGGAGAATTTGCACAATTTCCGTTTTAGGGAATATACTATAAGTATGTTACATGTCAATTAATTACAACTTGCTGTCTTTCCCCACTAACTTGCAAGTATGTGATGTACTATTGACAACTCAAATTAGAAAATTTGCAATAAGATATGTTGATTAACACTTTGATGTCATAGGTATTTCCCTGTCATATTGGCAATTTGAATTAGAAAATTTGCAATAAAAATACATTGATTCACAAGAGAAACTCGTCTGTTTACAAATAGACTAATATAACTAAAAAAGTCATACATGATTATTCACAAGTCTGAGGAGCACTAATCACAAGTGGAATTAGGCAATTTGCAATACGAATAATCATATTAATGACAATAACCTGTCTATTTGCAAGTGATCTAGTTGAATTCTAGAAGTTGGACATGATAATTTATGTCTGGGAGGGACTATTTGCAACTAGAGTCAGGCAATTTGCAAGAAGGATAAGTATATTCATAGTAAGCATTTGTCCATTTATAAGTGAGCTAGTTGAATTGAAGAAGTTGAACATGATTATTCACAAATCTGGGAGGGATCATTTGCAACTGAAATTAGGAAATTTGCAAATAGGATATGTATATTAATAAGAATAACACATCCATTTGCAAGTGAGTTAGTTCAATTGAAAAAGTTTATCGCAAGTCTGGGAGTGAGGGTTCACAAGTGAAATCAAGAAATTTGCAACACAGATATACTCATTAACAATAGAAATACATCCTTTTGCAAGTAGAATTATTTCATTCAAAAAGTTGAACACATCAATTCACAATTCTGGGAGTGACTATTCACAAGTGGAATTAGAAACTTTGCAACAAGGATACATACATTAACAATAAAAATACATCCATTTGCAAGTCGATTAATTTGTTCGTACACATATATAGTTGCTAGCTAGTTTCAGTTCAGTACTTAGGGCGGTTTACCTCTAAGTACCATCATGAAATTCTCCATCTATTCATAGCACTATACAAAATAGATTTCAACTCACGCGTTGTCATAGCCACTTCACGAACCATTCCAAAAATACATATTAAGGTTCATATATACATAAAAATAGCTATATATTAAAACAAAAACAAACTATATCCAGCAATAAAGTCATGTAGAGTTCGAGCTCCTGCAAGTTTTTCTAGTTTAACCAGCTTCATATCTATACAAAAGGCTCTTGTCCAACACTTGCAAGGGTGGCGATGGAGGCTCTAGCAGCAGGGCGATGACGAAGGCTCTCCTCAGCAAAGCAATGACGATGGCAAAGTCTCTCCTTACCACAACAGTAGCAACGGTGAGACGAACGATCTCCTTCAATGGATGAACTGGATTTTTTAGAGAGTGAGCGAGAGGAGCTTCAAATATTGGGAGTTGAGAGAGAGAGAAAAGACTTCAAATTTCATAGTAATAGTTTGAGGGGCAACACTGTCTTTTTGGTTTTGAAGTTAGTTTCAATTTGTCCCTATGGTCCTGTAGTGGCTTTTCAGATTGTTTTGAGGGCTCTTGAAAATTAATTGCCTTTAGCGGTCCTTGAATGAAATTTTCCCATGATTTTGTGACAATAATTATTAATTTGAAAATTGAACTTGATATGTTTTGTCAATATTTAAAATTTTAATGTCAGCATTATTTGTCAATAGAATTATGATGAAAGAACAAAAAAATACTTTATAAAATTAAGAGATCAAAACCATGTCAAGTTAAAACACTAAAGGAACACCTGTGTCTACTCTTCTGATTATTAATATAAAACTAATTTAAGAGGTGACATTAGTTTTATTTGTAAGATCTATTTTATATGTTTATCAATTTTTTTTTTCAAATTAACCTCATTAATATTTCATCGACAATAATCAAATAACAGAAGAAGGGAATGAGTTAGCAAAGATGATTAGGATATTTTTTTTAAAAAATTATATTAACTAATTTAACTAACATCCTTAATCTATTCAAATTAATTAATTAAGTCTTACACTAAAAATTGGAGTATAAAAACTCTAACAAGGTACAGTATTTATAGTCACATGAAGAGCGCAACTTATTTCACTCTATACAATCCATGGGATCCACACTAGCCCATGATATTAACTTCTAGAGTACAAGGGGATCTTTTGCATCATATTTCAATAGTGATACTCGATCTCCATGCTTGAAACAAGGTAGAACAGTTCTTCACAACTAAACTATTCTCAGGTCACACGCAAAAAGAAACATTAAAAGGACTACCATTGCAATAGTTGTTTTGAAAAAGGAGGGGAGGGGGGGGGGGAGATACTACCTCAGTATCGTTCTTAAACAAAGAAATCAACGTATACGCGATTAAACATATCGGGAGGGCAAATGTAACTTACAATGTTTATTTGTTCTGGCACGAAAGACACAAGAAAGGCCCCTCATTTTTGGATCAGCAAGCTGTCATGGTAAGCAGTACATAGTTACATACAATTGAGGTAGATGGAATTTCCCAGTTAATGGATAAAACTATATTTTGTACTGGAAAGTAATGACTTCTCATCCCCTATGCTTTTACTGACAGATCATGACATCATGTCCCACCATCCACATCAAATCCGGCCCCAGTCCAGCCCGGGGCCGCCGGTCGACCTTTAACCACTGCACCAATTCCCTTTCCTTTTAATTGGAAGTTAGCTTTCTTTTTACCTCTTCCTCCTCCCTCATTAGAAGGCTGCTGATTATGTCCATTTGTCCCTGGGTCTTTCTGCTCGTTTCTTTGGGTGGAACTACTATCGGCTGAACCCCCATTTGGTTCCCTTGTGTTGGGAACAGAGGACAAATCTTTAATTGTATCATCCTGAGAAGAACTCCTTGATCTCTCATCCAAACAAAATTCAAGTACAAGGTTCTAAATTTTACTGGCATGACATGCATATATTCAAGACATGACATGACAAAATCAGGGGACGAGCATCGTATATTCAAGACATGACATAATGTAGAATCAACAGTCAGCAACAAAGGAAGACAAATTTTAGGATAGAAATCTTTCCACTGATTTCGTTGCTTCCAGGGTAGTCTCTTCATAGCTAGCCACAAAAAACCTTAATTCAAAATCCATGCATTAAGGATAACAGCATTATATGAAATATTACTTCCAATCCTTAATATAAAAACCAGTTTAACATTTAATTTGATCTTAAATATAAGATCTCAATTTACTTTGTCTATCATATTTATCCATTTTTTTCTAAGATGGTCTTTGTAATAATTGCATATATTAAAGGTTTTATCAGATGGTAGTTTTAGGTAATATATACGACTAGCAAAGATATTTTAAGGAAGATAACATCTATTTATTACAAATAACTAGCTTAAATAATTTTTTTAATCTATTCAAATTAGTTAACAAACTCTTATATCAAGGACTCGAGGTAGTAACACATTCACTTGCATATTAAACTCAGACACCAAGTAATCTTCAATTATTATTTCAGTAGCTAGCCAAAAGAAATTATTTATTTTAACGCAAAATTCAGAATAGAGATCAGGTCTTATGCCTACAACAATCCATTCACTTTAGAATTTTATTTGAATTGTATCTCTACGTTCTTGAATTAAAAGGTATAGTTAGCAGTAGTTCCAACCAGTTTATATCGCTACCAATCGAAGGTTAAGAGCAAACACTACTACAGAAGAAAGGGAAAGCACAATAATATTCAATTCATGCCCCTGGTTATAGGAGTCTATCCCCTTGGTTATGCTTATAGGTATACAACTGGCCCAACAAATCAGTAAAATGTAAAGAGATTACTAACTAACAATTCCACACAAATTATCTCACCCAATACTACGAGTATTTTTTGAAGCAGTTATCAAAATTACACAATATTCAGCCCTATAATGGATATTCACAAAATTGGGTTTGAACTACCTGCCTAGTTGGCTGCTTTCATTATATCATCTTCAAAGCTTCAGAATATAACTAGGAATTCTTCTGTGTGTATAATTATAATCACTCGAAGCCTCAATTGCTCACTGGAATACTTCTCAAGTTAAAAGAGAAAGCCATATAGGAGGATGATCCATTTAGTGCTATTATAGAACATTCAACCTGAGAATGAACCCATCCCCAGGTACTCTGAAGACAAATTTCTTACAGAGCAGGTCCAGAGTGACTTTAGAGGATCAGTCTTAGAAGAGTTCCTAATGATATGCATTCCTTTGCAACAGGTTAAAAATACTGCAATGCAATAGTTTGCTCCATTATTATTTTTCCTCCATTGGTTGAATAAATTATATTGGCCATGTTAAGGATTTGTAATATGAATGACCAACTCAATTCAATGGCTCACAGCTCACCGATAACCCTTTAGATCATGACACATTTCAGCAGGGTATGCTTCACAAGGCACAAAATTTAATCTACAACTAAATAAACAGGCATGCTTACGTTAAATAAGCAGGCCAGAAAACAAAAATGAAATTCAGGCACCTTGGGAGAATCGGCAAAAACTAAAGTCTATTATTTAGCCAACAGTTACATAGTACTAAAGTCTATTGAAGCAATTAACCGTAGAGATTTGAAGATGATGTATGCAGAAATGAGAACATACATGATGAGGAGTGGTTGATGCTCTATTTGGATTCAAAGCTTCCAATCGTCGTTTTAATTCCTCCAGCCTAGAAAACTGACTGCTACTGCTCTCTTGGACCTGTAAACCATTTTTTGTATCAAACAGCCTATCATAACGCAGCATAACAGGTATTCATTAAACAATGTAACTACCAGATTGTTCAAGTCTTCACATAGCTTCTGTTTAATAGCCTCTTCATCCTTTACTACTTTTGATGCTGACTCCCATACCTGTAGCACATGCAGTCAAGATTTCTACATTTGAAGTAGCGTAGTGATCATTCTAATTACATTTAAAGCTCTGATGTTCATAAACTAAATTAAGGTTATAGACAGTAGAAAGTGCCCTTATCTAAGTCATATAACATCAGTATATTAATCCGCTTAAAGGGAAGCTAAGATACATATGCATTGCTGTGATAGCTCATGATTCAGAAATCTTATTTCTATGAACAAAGTCTTCCTCCTTTAGCAAACACCATGATGGAAAATGATATAGGTACAAGAGGTTATAGGAAAGGAGTGTTACAGGTGTTAGGAATATGGAGCAAAACATTTATGTGGATAGAGAATTATTATGATTTAATTACCAAGTTGGGTTTTTAATAGAACCTCAATCCTCAGCTATCTTTGCATCACTCTTATCAACAGGATGGCAAAAAGTCCCTTAATTTAGGAAGTCATGGTGGGACTGCCCAGTTCAGGAACCTCAATTCAGGTCCTCCCCCACCCCACTGCAGGGATCATGTGATCATATCCTCCACTAGAATCAGTAAATTCTCTTCTCATGTTAAAACACAGAAGAACACTGGATTACTAGAACCTTGTCAAATTATATTTGTTAACTTCCACCTAATAGTAAAAGCCCCTTCTTTGATCTTTGACCTCCCTCCATTATAGAGATGCGATTATGTCTCTTCTTCACTGAATCTATGGTTGTGTAGCCCCCAGAGTCCCCATGGGATCAGTGGGGATTCGGCCATGCAGGGAATGTGGATGCGGGGAAAATTCCCTCTAAATGGGTGTGGGAACAGGGAAGACAACTGATGGCAGGGACAGGGAGTAAGAAAGCACACCCCACCCCTACGTCACAGCACTGCCATCCCTAAATAGTAATGTAAACAACAAATTTGATAGGACCCCACATAAAATACAAACAAAAATACAATAGAAAGGAAATAATAGAAAGCAACAACTGAGGGGATAACGTGGGCTTTGATGTCTCATTGATAAATATTACACTGTATCAGTGACTCAATGACAGAACTGATCTCAGTCAAAACCCAAACACCCAATACATCCTGATTTGACATATGGTTACAGAGACAAATCAATACAGAATATGGCAGGGAAGTGAACTAGACATTCAAGAGGCCAACAACTCTCCAACGCTTCGGTCTTTGAAACAACACCAGATCTACTCTATCCATTGAAGACTGAATTAGAGAAAGAAGAGTAGAGGAATCACCACTTTGAAATATTCTCTTCTTTTCTCATAAACATGTGAGCTTGTAATGAATATCTACTCTATAAGAAGTCATTGTGAGAAGCTTTTCATGAGAATTGTATTTCTTTCTTGACAATTTTGCCAGGTTCTTGAGAAATATTTAGTGGTTAAAGTGCTAAGAATATGTTGTAAAGGCTTTTAAATCCTCCCTGTTTTGAAAATGTTTGCTACATTACTATAGAAGATTGATTTTCATATCTGAACTCTTACACACAGTGGTCTCTTCCTCTCTAAATTAGTAAGTTATTTAACTTCTTGTGTATGTGCTGTCTGTATTTTATTTGCATTTGAATTATAAAAGTACTGATGAATGTATTCAAAAGGAAGGCAATGAAAATTCATTGATTCGTACAGAGATTCTCCCTTAGCTTTCGAAGATTTGAGTTAGGAGTATAAGATTAGAGTCAGAATCTAACTCAAAGAAGTTCTTGTTTAGCTATAATGCAAAAGAAGTTCTCTCTAACATATGGTAAATGATTATTCAAAACCAGAGGATTAGAGGATTTAGAAGAAGAAAAGTTAGGAATACAAGATTAGAGTCAGAATCTAACTCAAAATTCTAATCATAGGGAAGCAGATTCTTGGGGACCATGAAAGGCAGATTCACCCCAAGTCCATGACAGGAACTACAGCAAGAGGTTCTCAAATCTCACTCCCTCCCGCCATAGGTTTCAAAGGGTAAGGAATCTTTAGGAAATATGAGTCAGAATCTAACTCATAAATCTTCAAAAGCCAAGGGAGATACAAATCAATGAATTTTCATTGCCTTCCTTTTGAATACATTCTTCAGTACTTTTTTAATTCGACTGCCAATAAAATACAGACAGCATATACACAAGAAGTTACTCCTCTCGTCTTATCTATAAAGCACTTCCAGCATGTTTCATACAGACCAAGAAAAACTTTAAGCTTTATTAATTCTCATTTAAAATTTAATGACTTTCCAATTTTATTTCTATTTAATATACATTATACCTCATATAAACAAAGTCAACACTAATAAATGACGGGTTAAATTGTACATCCATACAAAAAATTTCTCTCAGTGCCCTATAAACAAGACCAAAAAATACCTTCTCTCTCTGTCCTATAAATAGGACCGGAGGAGTAAATAACTTCCAAATTTCCCTTTGTCCTTTCTGTCTACTTATGTACGCAGAAGTTATGGAGTCCGATCAATGAGTTAACTGTAAACATAAGATCAGGAGTTGCCCACTAAAATTGTGTGGCGCTGTTGGCATAGGCATCTATGCCACTAAAGGCATTTATGATATGACAACTGTGGGGAAGAGTTGAGTATACAAGTAGCACACCTTTCGTGCTTGTTCTTCCTTTTGCTTGGCCACACGAATTCTCTCCGTTGACGCCTCTATTTTCTTCCTCAGAAGTTCGAGTGCTTAAAAGTATGCATCATTATAAAAGAGAAGCAATGTCATAATTCTATAACGACCAGTGAAGAATTATTTGTATCATTTGCACCAGAAAGAGCACATAACAATGATAGTATAGAAACCTGCTTTCTTTGGCCCAGCAGTGAGTTTCATCTCCATTGTGAGATTTGCAAGCTCGCGTTCCACATCACGAATTTTAGAGTAGTTCTCTTCAATGTATCTGAAAATAATAGAGAACTTATGCAGCTTACCGATAATTCAACTATAATTAAAGACGTGTTCTTCATTGAACAAGATACAATCAGACAAACTGAAATTCCTTCTCAAAACAAAACAATCTTAGCGCGGTTCTTATTTGGAGTAGATTAATCAGCGTATATGAACAGAGATCAGAGGTTCAAGAGGCAACTACACAATGAATAAAAGTCCAGCATGAACACCTAGTAGATCCAGACTAGAGTGCGGGAAAGAAGAGGAAGAACGAGAAAGAGAGAGAGAGAAGTTACTTCTTTAATTGAAGCTGCTCTGCCTCGATGATCTGCAATAGAATCCAGTAAGTAAGAGAGAAGCATAAGATTCAGGAAATTAAGTAATGGGAGAGAGGAAGAAGAGAACCTTCTCGGTGTAGCTAATGACAGGAGCTTCTCTAGGGAGACCATCGGGTCCGATCTCAGGGAGAAGCGAAGGATTGGAAGCCATATCTGAAGAAGGAAACGCGTCGTCGGCTTTTGAATTCGGCCAGTAACAGACTTGTAAATTTGACAATGTGAATGTCGAGAAGAAGGATTGGCCTCGCTTTAGCTATGAACGTTTGTGTCTTTTTCCGGAAACGCTCCCATTCTGCACATTGCAACCACGTTCATCAGAGAAAATGACGCAGCACGAATTGGGTCCGTACCAGACTCCGTTTCGCCTAAATAAATAAAGAAAAAGTGAAAAACAAAGAACCGGGAATATATAATGTTCTGTACCTAATATATCATCTATTTAACTAATTTAATTAGTTAGATAAGTTAGTTAATTATAAAAAATATGATATGTTTTTTTAAAACACCATAATCATTTTACTTGATATCCTCTTTTCTTTTCCTAGATCCATATAAATAATTTAAGAAAAACTGATAAATATGAGAAATAGGTCTTATATTTAAGATCCAAATTAACTCAATAATTAGATTCTATATTAAGGATCGGAGGAGTATATGTGGGATTAGTTTACATCCTATTTATACAAGTACCTTCAATATATTTTAGATAGACTAAATAAATTATTAAACTATATTATTTTTTATTAAAATATAATAACTTTTTCACTTTACTTTTATTTAATATATATATACTTTTTAAAAAAGATAACTATCTACACTATAATAAGTAAATGACAAAATAGTACATTCATGCTAAAAATTTAATATAATGATTCTGCCTTATAAATAGGACAAGTACTTAAATTTCACTATTTTTTGTCAATTTTTTATTTTTATTTATATTTTTAATATATAAATTAGAATAAATAAAATTAGATCACTACTGATATACTTGACTTATCCCAATCAACGACATATCTAAGGACTGGGTTGTTGACAGAACACGATAGTATCATGTGATTCATGTAGCCGACCCCACCTAGTGGGATAAGGCTTGTTGTTGTTGTTGTATCCCACTCAAAATGCGCATAATATTCATAAAACTGTATTAGAGAATAATATTAGTAAATCAAGTGCTGCCAAAACCTAACTTAATTTAAAATTTAATAATTTAAATTCTTATTGGATAAGGGATTAATAGGAAAGAAAACTATGGGGTAAAGTCAAACTAAAGTCAAAGAACATCTTTTTTGAAAAAACAGAAATGGTAGGGGGAAGTCTACGAATAGTAAGACAAGTTTGAAATTTCATGGGAACCCCTTAGAAATGAGATGGAATTTTAACTAATCCGATCCTATGTAGGGTTCAAGATCCTCCCTCAAATGGACATCCTAGACTTAGGCCCAAACATGACAATTCCAATCCAATGGACGTTTGTTTGGAAACGTCAAGTTGCCTAACACAAGCGAAGAGGCATATTTTGCTTCTGGTCACTGTGGAGAGCCTGCTGAAAATGGAAAGTTGAACCATACCCAAAAGGAACCAAAACAAAAGGTAACAAAATGGCAGAGCCAAGCCTTTTTGGCGGAAAGCTTTAAAAAACCCCAGTTGAAAATCAGAGTCGTGTATTATCCACAGGCCACAAAGTCTATACATGTGCCCAGGACGGTGTTTATTTCTGGAAGCACTGGAATTTTATGCCGTTTGAGCCTTGACCATTCCAAATTTAAAAAATTCACTCGTTAGGATCCTAATAATAATCTGCTTCATCTAATCTTTTATTTGAAAAAAATTGGATTTTTAATTTGTAATCTGTGACTTTTGGTGATTGAAAAATTTGGAAGTTCTAACTCTTGAATAATTTATATCAGTAACAAATAATATTTTTCATATTTCTTCATGTTCTAGATTTGATGAGCAGCTAGATGATTAGCAACTATTTTCTTAATTATTTGCTCTGCAACCGCACGCCATCAATTCTGGTGAGATTTGTGAAATATATTTACCAATAATTATTTATTTGATGGAATTCAATTACATTCTATTTTAAGCATTTGCCATGTATCTTGGTAATAGAAGATTAAATTAGTAGGCTAGAAATATCTGGAACAAAGTTTGATTGCACAAATGATTATAGCATGATCTTCAAATAGTTGTATGATCATAACCTCCCCAGAGTGCTACCATGATCTACAGCAAGAAGCCAAGTATTTCATTTTAAATTTTAATCACCAAAAAAACAAAAACAAAACCAGTGGAAGCTTGTCAGTATATCTTATTATGCCTTGAAAGTTTATGTAAAGAATTGGAGAATACCTCAATAGGACATAACAGCAAACTGAACTGAACTGAACTTACATAATAGAAATGCAGATTAAACCAAAAAGAGATGCAAAGAAGCTCAGCATGACCTAAGCCCTACATAGCTTAACAAGAACATCAAAGAGTCAAATGATGTTTTACAAAAACTCTCCTAGGTACTAAATCGTTGCTGCTTCAAGCAAGAATTGAAGAACATCCTCTTTTGTGGGTAGTGCAGGAATTGCTCCTTTCTGTGTTACTGTGAGGGCGCCACATACGTTGGCAAAGTACAGTGCCTTTCTTAATTTCTTCTCATCCTGCCACACGGAATAAATATGTTAATTCCTCCAGGGCCAAGTTTGCAGAAAGTGGAAAGAATCTCAAGTCCTTGCATCAAACACCCCAAAGAGAAAGAAACATCTGCAGTGTTTATCATGTTGAACAATTCGGATTCTTTACATTCACAAAAGGGAATGCACACAATATATTCAGACAAGGAAGAGACGATGGTATAAAGATGGGATGTGGACCTCATAAGCAATTACATTCTTTTGTGTATCCTTTCTTTCTATGTACCTGTGAGTGTGTGTGTGTGTGTGTGTGTGTGTGTGTGTATGTATATATGTATATGCTTAAATGTAAATGATACAATTTGTTCTTTGAGACAACTTCACCTCAAGCAAACATCTTCCTATTGGTGAGTTGCCACGTCAGGACCATGTTTAGAGGTTTTATCAGGTTGCCTTAATTTTTTAATTATCAAATTAACGTTAATTTTCAATACTAGTTAAAACAGTTTCTCCAACTTCAATTTTTTGGATTTCTTCATTTTGGCCCCCCAATTCCCCTGTAAACGAAGGTATGGGCGGAAAGACAGAAGATAAGGAAAAGGAGAGTGGTGAAGTTACAGTGTTTGAGTACTAAATGAAGTTTGCGGCTTTCCCTGATTCTGTTTTGAGAGCTATTTGCTTCACTTTTATACAGGTTTCCACAGCACCATGAATAGAAATTAGCCAGAAACTAGTGGTGACAACAACGGTGTTGTGCAAATGTATAGGAGACATGTGAGAGCAGAATTATTTAACAATCAATTTCTGTTAAATTTTTGAGATACCTGAAAAATGCTTGGGTCAGAAGCTACATTGTACAACAACCCACTGACAAATGAATCACCAGCACCTGTTGTGTCAACAGGCTTAACTTTAACACCAGCAACTTTGCCTCTAAATTCCTGAACAAATGTGATCAGAATTAGTTGAATGTGGGTAATTAACAAACAACAGAATATTATATTGCTTAACATCAGTTAGCTCCATTTAACTCACAATTATCACATTAGCACACTCACGACTTCTCAGAATAAGGATAGCATATAGAAGATGCTATACATCATCGGATATTGTCAACTCAATGTAGATTCAAGAAGACTCACTGATAAAGAGTAAAGCAAATGAATAAATTATTGGCTTTGTCCCTTATGGGACACTTGATTTTGATGAGTCTACCTTGGTATAATATCTACAACCCTCTGATCCTTCAGTAACAACTAGGAGCTTAAGATTTGGATGAAAAAGCTTTTTCAACACGACATTATCATCATAGGGATCATCACCACCGGTCAAGAATGTGATCTCATCCTCACTTATCTGCAGGCACATAAAAGCACCAAATCAGCTGTAATATTTTTTTTGGTAGTCGGGATGTGAGATGTCAAAATGTTCTTCAATCCAAATTATGTGTTGATATAAGTAGAAAAAGAAAACATTAGCGTATATTATACCTTAATTATATCTGCTTGGTCCCATATACTCATTATGCCCTTTCGAGCAGCTTCAGCTGAAGGCCATAGGGCCAACCTCAAATTTGGATCATAAGATAGAATAGCACCCGATCTTTTGGCAATACTCATGGCAGCAAGATGAGCAGACTTGCATGGTTCATCAATCAAGCTAATGGAACCATAATGGAAGATCCTAGCCTACAAACAACATGCAGATATCAAAACATATATGAAAGATATTGGACCACATTTAAATGAGACATTAAAAAAGAGGAAGAAAAACCTGCTTTAGAAGATTTTGATCAAGTTCTGACTCATGAAGAAGCATATCAGCACTTGGATGTCGGAAAAACAAAAATTCACGTTCACCATCAGCTCTAAGAGTAACAAAAGCTAGTGCAGTTCTCGCATCAGCATCAAACCTCACGCCAGCTATATTAACATTATTCTGCTTTAAAATGTCAGCCAACATGTATCCAAATTCATCCCTTCCAACCTACAAGACAAATAGCAATACATTTTAGTCTGAACTTGAGTCAAGTAGCTCATGCACACATACATTTCTCTATACATCCATTGACTCCTTTCGAGTTTCTTTTCTTTTTTTCTTCCAGGGGGTGCAGGGATACAAACACAATCGTCTAAGAAAAAAAAAATTCACCCGAACATGCAACCTATGACAAAGAAATCATTAACAGGAAAATACAAAAAGAATCCATGTAACCAACAGGATCAACAAACTTGAATGTCTAACTATACCTTGCCTACAAAAGCAGATGAACCCCCGAGTCTAGATACACCAACAGCCACATTGGCAGGAGCACCACCAGCAGCCTTTTTAAAAGCAGATGCTTCAGCAAGTGATACTCCAGCTTCTGTTGGTACGAAGTCAATCAACATTTCACCAAAGCAAACAACCAGTGAACCAGTGTCCTTGCACTCTCCGTTACCTGTACAAAAGCTGTACTGTTAAACCCACTTAAATAAATGCATTATAACTGAATGCAGAGGAATTAACAATAGTCATTTCAAGCCACATTATTATGTAATTAGGCCAGTGATATGGCTCCAATTGTTTTACAGAAGACAGCTTGCTGGGATACATTTTCTTGATTTTCATGGTGTTCATTATAGAAATTGTTCTGTTTTCCTAAGCTTGGTGCACAAGGTAACTGAAAATATATTCTTAACTAATCAAAAGCAATCCTTCAAGAAGACTGAAATGG